GCAAGAGCAATAGCTGCAATCCATTTGGCATCCTAGTTCGTCTCTTGATGCCAAAAAGAACGTCTCTTGACGATATATTTATTTAGGATCAAGCCTTTTCGGACATTTCAGTTCCATAGATTTCGTGGCTTTTTGCCATGTTTGATATGGGTCGAAGTCGACAAAAAGTTTTAGTTTAGGACGGAGAAGGCTTTGCTGCTCTTTACACTTAGATCAACGTAGCGTTACATCCGTTAGCAAGGATGTGACACATTCTTTTACTACATATCGAGGGCATCTGGGACTGTCATCACTGATATTAATTTCAACTATGCAATTCAATAGTAAATTCTTCTAGTAAGCGATATACAAGGTCATCATCAACCTCGTCGATGACAGCTAGGTCTTAGGTGGATTTTTATATTAGAATCTCATTTCTCTGAAATTTGCACATAGCTTCTATTGAATATAAGCCCTCGATATACTACAGGAAATTTCATTCTCGAGAAAGCTCGTCGAGACGCATAGATTTTTCAATTTGAAGATCTGTCGAGAAAACTCTGCTGATCCTTTTCGTGCGCAATTCAGCTATCAAATCGCCACACACGCGAAAGATTGTTGTTCGTGCTTGTTGTCTTAATTTTTTTCACGCGCTGTGTCCTTCTTTTGTGGCTAATGATCTCGCTGTTATCTCACAATATTCGTGTTAAGTGCTGTAGCTATCCATATTACTATTGAAATCTTCAATCAGATCATTACGTAGGTCTTGCGCCATTATTTTTCTGTCTATCTAAAAATTACCCGCTCATTTTGAAATTCCCCACGTCAGTTCTTTGCTTGTTTTCGTAACTCAAAGTTTCGTTCTTTTTAATGCCTTCTATATACATATTAGCAAATAATAACCTTTGCTTATTTCACACTTTACTCTGTTCAGATCTAATTAACTTTTGCTTACAAACGACAAAGCAATCAGAACTTAATTTACTTTACAACTCCTTTGCCACTTTGTTGCTACTGTTGGTAACTCGTTTTGCTATTTCTTAGCCATTTTTACGGCTGTCACTTGAACTGGTACCATTTCGTGCCATGTTCTTTATAATTTAAGTCATAAAGTTAGCTCAGCATCAACAAGCAAAGCCCTCAATGATCAACAACCGGCTGCACCAGTTTCTATATATTTTGACCGCCCAACAAATAGTCTACAAAGGCGACTGGCACTAATGGTTGTTATGTGCCAAAAGCACACGTGTTTTCAAGCACAACAAGTACATATGTACATAAGGGTGCAACACTCGCCATACAAAAAAAAAATAAGAATTTTGGTACTATTGTTTTCATCAGAATTATAAAATCTATTCCATTTTGAAATTGCTGCCGAAATATTTCATAAAAATATTGAGAGTTACATACGTGAGCTGGAACCATTCGAAAATATCTCTAAAAATCGCGCTTTTTATAAATAAAAGATTTTTAAAAATCACTTCAAATTATAGAAGAGTTTAAGCTTAGAAGTTCTGCATAATCTGGAATCAAAATAATGAGATTTTTACAGGCATTTCCAAATCGCTGCAGCTCGCGTAAATTTTAATTGTTTCCGATATATTTTGACGGAAGTCTTAAAATATAATATTTTTTTTATTCCAGTGGAAAAACCGCAACTTTTTTTAATAAGACACTCTAATGTACATATGTATGTATGTACTCATTAGGGATGTTAATTTTTCAGCTTTTCCGATCACGGGATTTTCGGGATGTCGTTATGAAAATCCCAGGATACCGGGATAAGTCCCGGGATTAAGATATTCATTACTTTTCAACAACTTAAATCGAAAAAGTTGTTTCTATATTGTTTGAGAAGTCTCCTACCATGAAATAAATAATAAATAAATGGATTTTAAACCTACTTTTTAATATAAAGTGGCGTTTTTACTTTTTATCTCTGAAGTCAGGATTTATTTCAAGAAACTTTGTAATATCAAAGATATGAAAATTCAGTGCAATGTACAATACAAATATGGGTACCAAATGCAAGAGGAAATCTCTACAGAATTTCAAAAAATTAAAATTTTTTGGATTCACAAGGACGCATAGGTAATTTTTTAAGCTGATAAAGTTAGGCGAACCAAATTCGAGGATGTTATCGAGTTTATATACATAAGTACTTAACCTATAATTTTTTCAAAAACAAAAATATTGCGAAATTTCCAGGATAAAATTTTGAAAGGACATTTTCAATACATACCAGTCCTTCTGCACCAAAAACTTGTATCTGTTTAAACTCTACAGGATTTCCTCTTTAATTTGATTCCCATACTTCTTCTCTAAGCAAATTTCTTTAAATTTTTCAAATCATTTTGAATTACTGTAAGAGTGAAAAACTAAAAACGTAATTTTTGCTATATTTAGCCCTGGTTTCGCGAATATATTGATATTTTTGTGTAAAATTTACTATCGCACGGTGTTATATGTATAATGAGCTAGACATTTATAAAAAATATAAATTATTGAATAAAAAAAGAAATATAGCCAATACTGGTCAAGAAGGGGAATTACAAACCTCGAAAATCCCGAGATTATTTGCCAAGAAATTTTTTTTGGGACGCTAAAAAGGCCGGGATACCGGGATTAACATTCCTAGTACTTATTCATTCAGAGAAAAATTGATTTAAAAATATGTATATGCCTCTATATATGCACGTATGTATGTTTGACACTCTTTAAGTCCACAATTTTTTTCTTTGGTGCAAATATTTGACGTATGTCAAGCAGGAAGCTTTTATAAAAGTATCCACCTGAAACCTACTTCTCAAATACTCGTACTAAACCAATTTAACCGAAAATGGTTATGTATGACTTGCGATGGTGCATACACACATATGTACATGCACACGTAAACTTGTATCCATATATATAAAGAAAAAAACAACCAAACCAAAAAATTGGCACAAGCGTTTGTTGGCCTACACATCTGCTTCCGGTTTGTTGTTATTGCCGACTAGCGCTTTGTGTCTTTTATTGGGCGTATTTTATAAGCACGAAATGCTCACGGTTTCTTTTGTTGATTTTTGAATTATCGCTTGTCAAACGTTTGACGATGCGCAATAACCGGTTATTTGCTTCATATTTTAATAATGGCAATCATTTTATAGCGTTCAAAATTATTATTCATATTTATTAAAATTTATTTGATTTATTGATGCAATTCGCTTTTCGAAGATAAGTGCAAATTAATCGACCGTATCGTGAATTTCACTTGAACAAATACTCCCAAAAATTATAAAGCAAAACAAAAACAATTTTTCTCAATAACGCAAATTTGCCTAAATAAACTCTGCCAACTATTTAAATTTATTTTGCATTCGAATTAAGTATTTAATATCATTATTTATTTTAACTATTTTTTCTCAATCGATTTCAGCTTCTGCAGAACGTGTGAGACGTCAGGCCACAACTGAGGAACCCAAGAAAGAAGAGTCCTTCGAGAAGGAGCTCTGTAAAGATAAAGATGCCGGTGAATGGTTCCGTTTAGTCGCTGGCGAGGGCGATAACTGTCGTGATGTCATTCAGTGTACATCGTCGGTAAGTACAAAAAAAAAACATTATAACTTGTTTCACTTTATTTTTAGCGCTTAAGAAAATAATATAAGCCGTCATCGATTCGCCAGCCGTTAGCGAGTGACGAAACGAACGAACTCAATGAGGTACAACCAAACTCGCTATCGTCTATCCGTTCTAGCTATCTTTGTTGTTGCTTTCACATGCAAAATTCTTCTTTAAGCGACCGGAACTCAAACATAGCGAGCGAGAAGTGGCGAATCGATGACGGCTATAATTTCCAAGTAGGAATGGAAATGAAATGAAACGAAATGAAATGAAAAATTTATTATATGATAATAAATGTAATATAATTTGAAATTGATTGAAAAATTAAAAATGGATTAAATTTTACTTGCAATAAAATAGAATAAAATCAAAGTGAATTAAATTAAACATAATTAAATACAAATAAATTACATTATACTAAATTAAAACAAATTAAGTTAAATTAAACTCAATTAAATAAAATTAAATAAACCAAAATTAAAATTAAAAAAATTTAAGTAAAATTTACTTAAATAAAATAAATTTTATTAAATTACTTTAAATTCAATTAAAATAAATAAACGCTCATCAGTAAGCATATTCGAAACACCTGGCTTTTAATTTAGATAATATAAATTAATTAATTTAAATTAAATTAAATTAAAAGAAATTTAATAAAATGAAAGGAAATAAAATCAATAAGTTCAAATAAAATTACAAAAATTAAATAAGTGAAAAGGTGAAACTTTATTTTTTTCTTTTTTTTGTGTTGGAGATGGACATTGTGGTAAAATCTAGAACCAGCGAAATCATCAAATCATCAAAATCGTAGCGAAAAATTAAAATAAAACTTTCCTTCGTTTAAAATCCTCTTATAAATCGAGAAATTAAATATAAAATAGAATGTTTTCAATCAGATATTGAAAATAACCGCAAAAGATTAAGATTTTTTATTTTTAGATCATTGTAAAATCGTTATATTTTACCTTTTATTTTTCCGCTCAAGAAAATCGTTAAATTTGGATTTCTATTTTTCCGGGGAAAATTAATCGTTATTTTGTGATTTTTTTGGCACTGCTTTCGATCGCAACTCTTTGATTTTTATTTCTCCGATGAGAAAATCGTTAAATTTGGATTTCTATTCGGTCAAAATTGACCGTTAATCATAAATTCCCAAAAATAATACTTGTTCGTGATTGAAAAATAAAATCATAAAACAGCGGTAGAATTTGATCGAAAAAATAAAAACCCTAAAATAACAATTATTTTTGGTCGAAAAATAAAAATCACAAAATAACGGTTGAATTTGATCAGTAACCATGTTTAGGGTAATCGAGTTGGCTTTGCTTCGTATACAGTCCCTAGCGATACCAGATAGATATCGAATCTTATCGCCTTGGGTCCGCCTTTGCGGACATCGTCCAAACTAAGTAACCCCCAGCGCCGCATATTGTACGATGGACAAAGTCGTAGATATCTCGATAGGAACAATATAAAATTATAGAAAATATCGGTTCGAAAGCTGATATAATGGCCTACAAGGAAAAAATAGAGCCATTATGTAATCATTATATTCAACTTTCAAAAAATTTCATTGGAAAATGAACTTTCGAAAAAAATTAATACTTTGCTAAAAAATCTTTTAGATGCTCATTTTTTAAATTGCAAAGTTGCATCTAAATTTTATACTTTTCAATCTGATTTTCAGTATGCAGTTTATAGCCGATTAAATTGTAGTAAATAAAGTTCAAGTTTTAAGTTGCTACAAAATCGTGTTAAATTTTAATTTTAATTTTTTTCTGATTGTGACGCATTTTTTCCATACAAAAAAGATCTGGAATATATTTGTATGGATGAAAAATCCGTTAAAATAAATTGCCAAAAATCAACGAAAATGTTTAGCAACTTAAAATCTTAATATTTTTATTGAGCTTTGTACCACGATTGTTTATTTGGAAAAATAAAAATAAAATGTTAACAAGCCGCAATAACATTGACAAATTAAAATCTTAACTTTATTATACTAAAATTTAATGGGCTACTTAGGCCAAAATTAGTCAACTTTTGACAACAAATTTGAATTCCTCGGTTGAAAATCTACAAGAAAAGATCATAAAACCAAAATCTATTTTTTGTCCTTTGTCCATCGATGCTCCCAAATCGTACACTATGCGCCGGAAATAAGCGAACGAGATATTCCAAAATTGTCTCAGCTCCTTGCTTCATGCATTTCATGCATTCATCACTACTAGTTATCGCTCTCTGAAGTCTTTCCGTGACAACGCTAGTACGAATTGCATAAACGTCCTTTTGCATTCGCTTCCAGACGTGAAAATTTGCAATACTTTTAGGTGAAAAATCACATATGCCTACCAGAGGTTCTCTCCTAAGCCTATAACTCTATACGCAGTGGCATATAAATTTTTTTCATTTCATTTTCATCGAAAGCTTTGCTTTACCCCAGGGCTCAATGACTTACCATCCCTCAAATGATATGTACGTATATCGCAAGTGACACATAGTGCTTCTCAAGACCTCTTCTGAGATTAGGTAATCAAAAACTCTGTTTAGCTCGTTTCTCTTACATCTTTTTCAATTTAACTGAGTAGGGAGCGAAATTCATTCATTTTCTTTTTGATATTCTTTTTGGTCAAGAAGAATTGCATTGTAAATATTGAAGTGTAAGAGGAAGTTGTCTCTTGAGAATCTTTTTAATAAAGTTTTATGGTCTTTCCAAGAAAAACACCATTACTTTTTTCAAAAAACTAAGCTTCAGTCACTAGCGCAACAACCCACCATAAATTAGTATGGTTTATGGAACAATGCAAACAACTTTTTTTCTAAAGGGAAATGCAAACGTTTTTTTACGCGATAAACTCTCAAACTACGTGGACGAGTTCGCAGATACATAAACACAATTTAAAAACAATTTACGCCAAAAAAAAATTCAAACAGGGCTGCCATCCTTCTACAAATCAGAATATTTGAGAGTTTAGTATTGAGTGCATAAATATTTTGTTAGAGTGGCCACTTTAGAATTATTATTAAATAAACTTTAGTACTAAATAAACATCCCTCAAGAATTCTCAAAACTAATCGTGATTTGATAATTTTTTCCTTTCCCCCACAGGGCCTACAAGCTATTCGTTGCCCGGCTGGTCTGTACTTCGATATTGAGAAACAGACTTGCGACTGGAAAGAATCTGTGAAAAATTGCAAATCAAAGAACAAAGAACGACGTGTCAAGCCTTTGCTGCACACAGATGAGCCACTCTGTCAAGATGGCTTCTTGGCTTGTGGTGATGGTAATTGCATTGAGCGTGGACTTTTCTGTAACGGCGAGAAGGATTGCTCAGATGGTTCAGATGAGAACACTTGTGGTGAGTACTGAAGACTGCAATTGATAAAAAACTTCCTGGCACAAAAACAATAACAAAAAATGAATATGTGTTTGTGAATACAACAAATCAGTAACCTCAACACACCTTTAATTGTGCAGCAACAATTCGCATTAGATCAACATATTTAGATATGTATATACACCAACTACTAGATTTAGTGCATCGGAATTTACCCCCAATGTATGTATTTGTGCAAATAAATCTTCGGCTCACCTAAAAATGTCAAAAACCACTATGAAGTGACAAATCGGCAACTAAGTTGCTTGGCATGCGCGTAAAATTCAATCAGCAAATTCGAAACCGGAATTCATCACGCGGGTTGTTACTCAATTTGAATATCGCGATTTTTTTTTTAATCTCTTCTTTTGTGTATATGTAATTTTTCTGCTTCTACCACTGCTACGCCAGCATATTGATTACATGCGCGCATGCGTTTGCGGATATTTGAGGTTTTTGGGCTGCTCAGCACCCGCCCGCCCCGGCCGCACTAACAGCAAATCAAAATTTTTGGCTTAAAATACTCTACAAAGGTGTAAGAAAATAAAGGCGATTAGCGATTGGCGTGGTCTTGAGCAGCTATACAGCTTAAGAGATTATAATATTTTGCCGATACAAACATACCTATTTGCGTAGATATGTAAAATTACTTGTAATCGAAATGTGAGCCAACAAGTCCAGCAGCAGCAGCCAAGCATGGCTAGGCAATAGGCGATTGTTGACACAGACATAACAACAACACTTTTCTTACGTTTTTCTTAAGCAAAAAACACGTAGAAATATTTATCATAAATACCGGTTTCAAGATTGCAGCAGAAATCGAAATTTTTCATTGTTGCCTGCAAGTTTTTTTCCGTCACTTTTCTCACCTATGAGCTTACGGGTTTTACATACCTTCTTCTTCTTCTTCTGCGCATTTCGACACTTTTTCG